ATGACATATATCGTTTCAATGTTTATGTACATTTGTGAATGTTTAAACTCTCNTGGTAGGGTTTAGTACCCTTTTATTTTCAAAACATTTGATGGTATAATATTAATAAATAATATTACATCTTTCCTAAAACATTAATGAAAATTGTAATTAAATAAAACAATTGCGATAATTAAAAATAATAAATGTGGATACTCGAATAAGAGGATATCAATAATAGTGAAAACAAAATTCAAAATAATAATAAAAAAATTTCAAAGTGAATACAAATTATATTTTATATACAAAGTAAAGATTACTTATAAAATTAGGAAATTGATTTAAATTAGATCTAAATTAGATCTAAAATTAAAAATATTAATATATATGGTATAAATGGCATCACGTTCCTACGATTTTAGTATCGTTTAGATGTTGTAAAAACCTAAAACGATCATAATATCGTATGATGAATTACATATGAAAAGTGTATTAAGCATGTGTCTAATTTATTTGCATGATTTTAGTTTCGATTTACAATTGGAAAAATATCTTTTTAAAATTATTAATTAAGTTCTTCTTTTCAAAAATTGTTGGTGATTAAATTACATTTGTAAAACCATCGTGACTTTTGTTTACCAGAAAGGTTTTTCCATCAATACTTTATGTAGAGACAAAAACAAAAAGTAAAAAAATGGAATCTTATCGATCAAGTTGTTTTATGAAATATGAAATGATATAAAGTGGAGTTCTTATTGTTGGATGCTAATAGAGGAAAGACCACGACGAATTTAAACTTTAAAATTCTAAACCTTAAAAAGAGTTTTGACCCTTAACAAATCATAAACTCCAAAAACTAAACTCTAACATAATATAGTTAACCCAAATTTAAATGATATTTTGAATAAATAATATAATTTAATGGCATTTTTGAAAAGTTTAAAAAGTGGCATTTAAGTAGTTTCAATTTAAAAAAAAATCATAAACAATTACATCTTATATATGTAAATTTGTTAGAGTTATTTAGGCTCTCATTTTAGATCTCAAAGATCTGGTTTGCGGATTCCTAAGATTTTGCTCGAACATCTCAACCTCGGAAATTATAATCAATCGATATAATACGTAACCAAGGTATATATATTGCGTCTT